CTGTACAGAGCCTTTATAGATTACGAGAACGCATTTTATTCAGTAGAGATGTCGGCAGACACTGTGGGATCAGGGCATCGACTAAACACATATAAACATTCTGTAAGAAATCTACAGAGGATCAACTGCCACCATAGTGCTCCATAAAGAAAGTGACAAAATACCAATAAAGAAAGATGTAAGACAAGGGGATATGATCTCCTGAATGCTATTTATCGTATGCTTACAGGAGGTTTGCAGAGGCCTAGAATGGGAAAAGTTAGAGATAAGAGTTAATCAAGAGTACCTTAGTAACCTACGCTTAGTCGATGACATTGCATTGCTGAGTAACTCCGGGGGACAAATTGCAATCCATGATTACTGAATTAGAAAAGGGAAGCAGAAAAGTAGGTCTTAAAATAATTCTGCAGAAAATGGAAGGAATGTGCAACAACTCGGAAGAGAATGGTGGTTAGACATGTGTAGCAGTGCTTTTGAAGTTGTAAAAGAGTAGTCTACCTAAAACAGGTAGTAACCGCAGAGCCAAACCACGACGTCGAAGTAACTAGAAGAATAAGAATGAGGTGGAGCACATTGGGCGAGCATTCTCAAATAGTGACTGGTAGATTGCTACTATTCCTCAAGAGGAAAAGTATACAGTGGCTGCATCTTGCCGGTACTTGCCCTAGGAGCAGAAACCTGGAGGCTTACAGCTTAAATTGAGGACGACTGCAGTGAGCCGTGGAAAGGAAAATGATATGTGTAACCTTTACAGATGAGAAAAGAGCAGAGTGGGTCAGGGATAAAACTGGGGTTAATGATATCATAGTAGAAATCGAGAAGAAATGGACATGGGCTTGGTCATTAAGGATGATAGACTAGGTTCCAAGAGAATGCAAGCGGATGAAGGGGAGAAAGTTAGGTGGGCGGATGAGATTAGGATGTTCGTGGGTATGGAGTGGCAGCAACAAGCACAGAACCAAGTTGTCTGGCAGATCAAGGGAGAGGTCTCTGTCCTGCAGTGGGCATAATCAGGCTGATGATGATGATACCTGGAAGGTCGACCAAGCATATGCACCAAACCAAAAACTTTGGAAAAGGAGGCATATTCTGTAATTACACTCAAATCTTATTATAATGATGTCACACCTGCCACAAAAATACTCTATTATATCTGAAAATTTGTTATAAACATATATTCGTAGCACTGTATCTGTGACAAAGCTACTCTTCATTCACTTCGTTATAACAGATAATTCATCACAACTGGGTTTCTTATATTGAGGTTTGAGTGTAAATGAATTGTGCTCTTGATCAAGTATCACTTGTACGGAGAATGTTCAAGTATCACTTATTTTATTGTGTAGTTGTCGAACATAGAGCCTCTGTCTGTGCTATTCTACTGTGTTCTGCATGCAGTACCAGACCAGATAGAGAACATACCTCTCAGCTAACGTGGCTATTTGTGCACTGTTCGCTTGTTGCGTGGCCTGATGAAAGACGGACAAGGACTGAAGCCTCTTTAATTAGCGAAGCAATTGCCTCTCACTTGAAAGAGAAATGTTATTGACTACAGCATGCACATGAACATGGGATGTTTTGTGAGAAATACGCGAACTAACCCACTTTGTGTGTAGCAATCGTGAATTTCAATCTGTACTCTATTGGATATTGTATACAAGTTAAGATTATTCATTTGGACATGGCTAAATGGTTCATTGTAATAGCTGGTACCCTTGTACAATTTATAGACAATCATTTAGTAAATTTCAAATCTCTGTTCCTGTAACCACTGTTCTTTTAAATCACCACACTTTCAGACTCTGATATTTCGCCGATTGCATTCATGCATACTCTGAAATCGTGAGCAAGTGCCCCTCGTACAATAAAAGATAATCCAATAAAATTCAAAGGTGGGGCCCTTGCTCGTGCAAAGATCGAAATTTGGGATGGTGGTGAAAGAGCGGTTGAGAATAAAGAATGCATACCCGTGCTATACTAAATACGAATGGCACTCGTTGTTTTCATTCGCCCTCCTTGGGCGAGTAAAAACACGTGAATGAAACGGTGAAAATGCTGGAAGTAGAAAAGGAGGCGCATATTGAAAAATCTTCCAAATAAGTAAGGTAGACGTTTGCTCCTACGGGTGCTTGATGAGAATTTTATGGTTGGCGAAAAGTCTTCATTCACGGGAAGCTTTTCCAATTCTGATTTGTGTGTGCATTGGCCACTCGAGCCGTCACCTAAGGGTGCGAGCTTGAGAATATTTGTTTACATCTTTTTATTCTATTTTATTCTTTTGTGACATTCCTGGCATTATTTAAACGATGAACTTTTTAATGGCAAAACTGCCTCTTAGCATTTTTTTTTAGTTGGTACCATTATGCAGTTCAGATTTAACTGCCTAGTTAATAAATGCTAGGTTAGAAACTATTGATTCGTATTTACTACAGCTTTTTCTGAAAGGAGATCGGGTGTGAGCTTAAAAAATAATTTCGTCATTGTTGTGATCCGAATGTAGAAATTAATTTATGCAAGGTTGTTTCGAGCAGCTAGTTATTGGGGCTGCTGAGGACTAAGTGAGGTGTCTTTAAGGGTGGGGTGTGGCACCTCCTCTCTTTAACCGGTGCTCAAATTTGGGAGTTGAGGAGCTAACCTTCTCCCGCCACCGCAACTTGGTGCATTGCACTGAGAAGATGCATGTCCCCGAATTCATTGATGTTTTGTTGGAGGGACACCGAAGTTTCAGTGAATTGATTCGAAACAATAAAATTAGTCCAAAACTGCGAATTTCGTGGGAACTCTAGTGTCAGTTTTGCGCTAGAAGGTTTATTAGAAAATAAAATGACTGAATTTGTTTTGAATTTCGCGCGGAACTGCGACAGCTGAGAATTGTGATGACGTCATGGATTTCAGAAGCTTTTCGTATTTTGGTCACGGAACAATAAATTTCCTGAAACTTTTGATGTGCCACTGGCTTGTTTATTGAATAAGGACGAGGCTCTAGCGGACGCCTTTAAGATAACGGTGAGTTGTTGCGCGGGAATTTTAATGAAGCATTGCTCCCTGTACTTTGCATTGCCGTGTTTTTCGGCATATGTTCGTAAGCAAGAGAGATCTCTAACGTCAGCACCGAAAATTTCGTTTATTGTTATTATGAGCAGCCCTGTCCGACTCTCGGAACATAACAGAAAGTTTTGCAATACGAGCTCCAACACTCATGCCGCAACTGTGCCGTGATGAGCTTTGCAAACGGTGAACTGGCGCTTCGCCTTACCTTTTGCGTCAACGCGTCTCCCATAACCTTTTGTGATTACGCTACTTCTGACACTTGCATCAATTGCATGTCATAAGAAGTGTGAAGGAATGCACCGAAATCCCAGTGCCGAGCGTTACGTCCGCAATAACAACAGCGATGTTTAATTTCGCGCTAGAAGATTCACGCTCCCTTCGCCACTCGTTATTACCGTTACAAAGTGCCGGTGTCCACGGCACTCACGACAAAGGTCGAGAAGGAGGCAATAATATCAAACACACAGCTGACGTCAGGGCCACCATTTTCGGACAGAGTGCTATGAAATTTGCTGGTGCAGCTAGGAATGCCGATGCCCTCTCTTTTCGGACTGCGCACTGTCGAATTTGACGCAAAAGTGAAGCAAAACTGCGATTCGGCCTAGTTGGAATCTATCCATCCTGAAAATGTATGCGCAGGCGAACAAGGACAAAGAAAGGAATACAAACTGGCGCAATCTAACAACTGATTTATTAATCGAAAAACATTGACTCTTTTTAACCCTCGGAACAGCGCTCCCTGGTGACCTAAAAAAACACACAATGCACTGCGCACTTACGACAACGATAACAAAAACATAAAAACGATAACAGTTTCATTGATTGACTGACAGGAGCGCGATTTCTTTTGTTAGTAAAGCTACTGAAGGGTGGCTAACACAGTTGTCTTTCTGCTTGTCTATATGATATGCCTCCATTATCTCCCTTGACGTCTTGTTTCTACTCCTATACAGCAAGGTAGTGTCACTAAAGCAAGGAGAGCATGCGCACTCATTGCAATGCATTGCCAAATGGGTTACAGGCCGACCTTTCAGGCTTGACATATGCTCTCTTAGCCTCGTGTTAATGCACCTGCCAGTCTGCCCTATATATACACAACCGCATGATAAAGGTATGCAATACACCACACTGTGTGCACATTCAACAAACCTGAGCTTATGTCTTATGCTACATCTCTTATGTGCGTTGGTCCCTCTGTCGCATTTCTGGTTGACCAACGCGCACACTCCTCCTATTTTGTTTTTGGCCGAAAACACTACTTTCACATCATACTTTCCAGCCACCTTTTTTAATCTATGTGAAAGCCTATGTACATAAGGGACCGCTACTACCTTAGAGCTAGAACCAGTCATCCCACCTGTTTCCAAACATGGCGCCGTTTCCCGTCTGAGCTTCTTTAATAACCTAGTGCCTACGGCCAACATCACAGAGAATGGGTACCCCTCGTCCTGGAGCCTAGAGACCTGTTCATGAAACGACGCATGAACAGTATGGAAACAGGATTTAACCAATGCAGACCGAAAACAATTTGTTATAATTCCATAACATTGCGCCAGATTGCGCCAGTTTGTATTCCTTTCTTTGTCCTTGTTCGCCTGCGCATACATTTTCATGACGCAAAAGTGTTGTTTCCTAAGCTACTCCAAAAACAGCCTAATCTAATATACTCGTAAATACCACATGAAATTGTTTTAGCCAGGTAGAAACTATTTTTTGGTGCGGCTTTTAAACGGAATATGACACAGGTGTAACCTGAACAACAGAATTTCTCTCTCAGCAGAATTACCCAGAACTATTTCAGATGAAAATTCATGTTTCGTGTAGGTTGAGAAGTCACGTAATACGATTAAGCACAGCATTGAATCCTGCCAAGCAGTTTTACCTGGTCAACCTGGTTTTCACCAGATTCGGTGACGTTGCGTTACGTCATCGCGTCACCTGATCAAGGTGATGGGCATTGGCGATCACCTTCTCGAGCGTGCGCGGTTGCGCGTGACTGTGTTCGTCTTGCGCGTGCTTTGTAGAAGAAGTATTGTTCTCAGCTGGCGTTGCTGACCAACGCTTTCTCGGCTTGAAAGAAATATGCCTCTGATATTCAAGAGCGCAGACGTGCGCAATTTGCTCGCAAACAGGCGCGTAGTGCTGATGGGATGCTCAAGTAAGTGCCCATTCGAGTTCTTTGCACGCTCAGCGATAACACTTATTGCACCACCTCTCGTAGACGTAAGAGCCATCTACAAAGACCTCATCTGCATCTACCAAAAGGACGAGTTTATATCTAACCAGAAGTTGAGACTGAAGGTAAGCGGTCAGCTGTTGTTGCGTGCGACATGGTGCGCACGTTCGCTGCCGTAGCGTATCGTTGCACGACTGCCGTTAGTCATTTCTTCGACGTTTTGTATCAGTCTGTGGTTCATGGGCATATATTGTCGTGTGTATCAGTCCACCAGTCCAGCTCTCGGGCTTGTAGAACAGTGCATTCCGGGTGGTTTCGGATTGGTTGTAGAAATGGCGACTTCAAGGAAGGAGAAAGGAGGGGTGGACAGTATGGAGTGAGTAGGGGAGCGAAGTTTGCTTCGGACAGCATTGGTAGTTCCGGAGCGCCGGTTGTGATATGCATTCTGGTAAAGGCGATGTGGCTGGTTCTACTCTGAATGATCGCTACGCTCGCCTTGGTGATTCGATCAGAGTACGCGGCTTGAATTCGCGTGTTAAAACCGTGAAATTATGCCGTATTTTCGACGAGTTTAATCGAGCCACGCACCATTACAGTGATTGAAGGGTGAGGGGATTAGAAGGAAAGTTCCCTACAAAGGAAGGGAGGGACACACCGCTACGAAGTTTCAGTAATTATGCAAGAAAAAGGGAATTTATCCTAGTATATTCTTGTTGTTTTTTCCCGATAGTGCACCGAAATCCATATCGCTGGTGTCCTTGTACAAGCAACGTGCTTTGGAATACAAGTGTTGCAGAGTGAAATTCGAGAGGTGGATGAGCTGTTGAAACGAGTTTTTTTTTTTTTTTTGAAATGCTATTAGTGAAACCAGTCAAAATTGAACTGTGAAATCTCAAATTTGTGATCCTCAACAAAATATATGACAATTTGAGATCTCATTCAAGTTTGGCCAAAGTGGAACTGACGATTAGAGCCAAAGTGGTTGTTCAAGTAGCATGAGTAAATGGGTGAGGCTTTAACTCGCAAAGGCTTATGAAATGCACATGGTGTGCACAGGCTTCCGGTTCAATGGCTCTCCGTTTGTCTGCTGCGTCATTTCTTGGGTATTGGTGGCGTTCGCTTTCTTTATGGCAACCCAGCAATGTGTACTCCGCGAATTTCTAGCCCCCATTAGCATGGCCGCACCTATGACTGATCACGAAAGGGAAGCATGGGCTGTCATTGTGAAATATTTTCATTTCAAGGGTGGCAAAAAAAGGACTGTACGTGCTATCACGATTCTGCGCTTCTGCAGAATATTAATTGCCCTGGCTTTGGTTGTCACATCTTTCAACTAATTTTACACTTGCATATTAACGCAGGTCACCCACTAATGTGCTTATTTTTGTGTTTCCATCTGTGAAGGAGCTCGACTGTTTTTGCATTCATAGGCGCACCGCAACTTGTATCGATGTCCACCGTGTACAAGGGGTATCCGTTGTTACTAAAACTATGGGTTCATCGGCAATGGCCTAGCAAAATGTTCAATCGTTCATTCGCAATTAACCTCTGCTGTAATGCAGCGCTGACAAAGCTTTGAAAGTGAAATATGTCAGCGGTAACTCTCTTTTTTATGAAGTTGAGCTCGTATGAAGCATATGTATTTAATCGCGTTGAACAGGCTGGCCGAGATGACGCTCACCTCGTATAATCAGGCACCGGGTTTGTTATGCGTAGTTTGGCTTGAAAGTATGGATAAATTGACTACTACAAAAGAAATGCTTGGAGGAACACTTGAAATTACCAGCAACATATTGTATAGCTGTTCTATAAGTAGAATAGTGGGGCACTTTTTATTGTCTACATAGCATTATTGGCATCATTTTCTCCCACTGGTGCGAGGTTGTCTCCTTCAGAACCACTGGCTGATTGTTTATATATCGCTTGTCGTTGACAAATTCTGTGTGCGTGGATTCCGCAACGTCACCACTGGCCTGATGTCGTGTGGCTGCTGGCTACTGTGTCATGCTAGTTTCGATATCAGGGCTGGCTGCATGTTGTGTGGGGGCCGTGCGTTTTAGCGTGAATGCCGTAGGCTTGTCATAGCTGCGTACATAGTGATAGTGGTTGGGCTGATGAAAAACGACACATCCAAATGCCTTTCACGCTTATATCTTGACATCTCAGTTCCTCTTTTGACTTGCCAAAACGTCGATGGCACGTAGTCAACCTGCCGGGAATCTTTGCTGGGAGTGCCTGTACGTAAAAACCAAATGTGTCAGACATATGAAACCATTCATGCAGGATTTGCGACAAGTACCACCCACCTGACAGTAGGCATCCAAAGGCTATACCACTCACTGTGGCTCTCCTTATTACTACATAACCCACTTCAATTTTCTATCTTGATTCCAAGAGAATCAGAATATCTGAACAACCGAGCATGATTCCGCAAGCGATTAGATTGCAACACAATCGAAAGAAAAGATGTATCTACAGCCCCAAAAACATGACCAGCGAAACAGCACCCCATGTATATCTTAAACTGCAAGTCGTTGCAGACGGCACCTCTCATGGGCCTTTGCAGGTTTACACCTCGCCTATTGAGAGCCCTGTGGCACTTCATGTGTTTAGCAAAGTTATTATTCGAAGGTACGACTATAAAGACAGCATCATGTGCTTTTGGGCCCTGAAATTTCTTGACCACTCTTGTAGTGGCTAGTTACCTATCACACCAACTTTTAAATAGTCTTTATTCATCGCTTTCTACATGTTTTTATTATTGTGCAATTGCTTAGTTGTAGCTGAATTCGCACAATATTGTCTTGAACTAGTTGACTGATATTATGTAACATGTTGACTGATATGTAACATGTTGATTACAAGCACATAAAATACTAAAGGTACCAAAGTATTACACTGCAAAAAAAAAAAAAGAACAACGGCGGAGAGGGGGAGTGGTTGATATTTATTTGCTATATTTTAGCTCTTAGCTTTATCACTGTGTACAAGGCAACAGTCATACAAAACTCAAAAGCTGTTAAAAAAATTTTTTTTAATGAAGCAGAGCTGTGTCGATGGAGCTTTTGTCATTTTTTGTGAGCCTATCTGTCTGGTAGAAATATAAAAAAGAAATGTTTCAGATGGAAGACAGTTCCTTTGGAGATGTCCTTGTTAGTCATGGAAAAAAGCACAATGGCCGGGACTACAGAGAAGAAAGGCTTTACACGAGAAAGAAGACATCCATTGCCTTCTACTTTCTCACAAGAGTCTACAGTGACTATGTCAAATCTATTTTGGCGGGCATGATTCGTGACAATGTGCCAGATGTCATCATCGTTGGATCGTGCCTATGGGACATAACACGGTCAGTGATTGTAATGTGTTGTAGCTTAAGTTACACAACTGATTGTGACCATTTCACCCAGGAATGGGTGCTGGGGAGCTATTCTCGTGGTGTCCAATTTGTGTGCATGTCTTGTTCAACCTCCCCTGATTGGCGGGAGCGTGCCGCCTGTTTCTTTTTCGGCTCTGATCACGTTAGCCCTTGAAATGGGTTTAACACGACTGCCTGCCTGATGCCTCCGAAAGGTCTGTACGCATTCCCTGCATCACCCTTAAAACATCTCAACACGTTCATACGCACGTTCAGACATGTAAATTTGTTTGAGTCCTCTTAATGTACATTTCGTCCACTTAGTTTCTTTTTACGCTGGGAATATGCTGGCGAGTTCACTGCGCTGACGTGGTCAAGCGCGCCGTGACATCACAACTCACCGTTTTTTTTTTTGCGTAACTTAATGTGCTACGACAATTGGACATGTTCACGAAATGGACATTGTGAGAATAGCTCCCCTGCTTTATTGCTTCCACATTGCAGCCATCTTGCAAGCCCCTAACCTCAGGGTTGCTTTTCTATATTTGAAAAAGGGCTGTACATGGACCGTGCGTCATTCCGTAGCAGAAAGAAAAGATGGACGGGAAGTTCTTTATTGTGTAATGGGGAGGCTCAGGTCATCTGTGGAGGTGCAGCTTTGTCTGCGAGAGTACAACAATTGTTCACTCTCTTAATGTTTCTATTTATTTAGCACTTCCAAAGCTCATTGTTTTGGGAAGCCCAGGTAATAATTTTGTCCTGCCATAGAAATTGATTTATGTTAAAGTTTAGGGTATGAAATGATAGAATTATTATTTCAAATATTACTGATTTCAAGCACTATATTTATTTCAGATATTGTCAGGAAGTTATACTAAGAAATGCAACAAAAGGACAAAAGTTCACGAAAACAGTAATGCCGTTAGACAAGGTGTAAACATAAAAAAAAAGAAATCTAGATATGCATATTGAACATGAAGCCCTTGTAGAATGATACTGGAAATATAAGCTCTGTAAGTATTAAGGCTACGGCTTTAGCAACGAAAAACAATGCTGAGCCCCTGCAGGGCACTCTGGAGCGCTGAATCAAGGTCCAATTTGTGCCATCTTTGTGGAGAGAAAACTGCTCTTTGTAGAGCCTTCACCAAATGCTCCTGCCTGAAAAAAATTGACACCTTGCAGATAAGAGCTGTGAGCTTCAGTACGTACTGCCAACTCTTCCTATAAAAATTATGCCTGGAACATGAGCCACAAACGTGTTGCCTTACCCTCGGATATTACGCTCCCCCTCCGATACGAAAGTGAACGCTTCTAGTGGCTGCCCCCTGTGAACATAGCAATGCTCTCACAGTTGGCTCCGAGCAGCCGTGGTGTCACGTGACAGAGCGGTACGGTAATAGTCACGTGACTGAGCGGTCTGGAGGCAAGCAGTTGCGTGCGGCGGATGGTCGCAACATGCGGCAGGAGGCATGGTTTCCAAGATTGTGCTGGTGGAGAGCTCCCAATTGAAAAGAGGGCGACTTTCCAGGCATAGTTTTTCTAGCAGGCGTTGATACTGCACAAGCTAACGTAAAAGTGCAGCACCAATAAAATGGCCCAAGAAGAGAGAGAAACTTACTGGCAGACACCTACTGATGTTTCAGGGCGGTTTGATGCACAAACACTGTCTGTACTGGAGTCTGATGGATCAAAGTTGTCTGCTGTGTTTGCATAAGCAGTTTTTGCTAGCAGCATTCGTGAGCACTCTGAACGTCGCATATATAGCTGTAGCTGACTTTTCTGGGATCTTGTAGTGCTTGCATTTGTATTAGCAGTGCTTTCGCCTGGCCAAGTTGGTGCAACATATGGGAAAAAAAATCAGCATGAAAGACGGGGCTCTGTACCTGAGGCGGTACACCGTATCTCTTGTACTGTGTCTTTTGACCCGTATCTCATTTGTAATTCTCTACAAATGCTGCTAACACGCCCAAACCGGCTGGCCAGATAAAGCTGAACTCTGGCACCTTATAACAATGATGTCTGAAGTGGGAGACATTTTGGAAGATTTTCATATCGCTACAATAAATGTCAATGTGGGGCAGTCTCGCAAGTCACGTAGCAGATGGTCAGCTTAGCAGCGACCTGGTGGTGAAGAACAGCACGGGCTTCAGCATTTCTTGAGTGGTTTCTCCGGGATGTTTCTCCTGGACAGCCGTGCCCTGTGCCTCCTGGGACATTGCAGCAAGGGATAAAGGGCTCCATTTGGGGCTGCACTTGGCAACGATTCAAGCAACCCAAACAGCTCCGAACCTGATGAGGAAAGATGATTGATCAGTCGCTGGTGCCCACCATGTTGACCGACTATGCTAGAGGCTTGTGGCAATGCATTGCTTGTGGCATTGTAAGCATGAAGATGGAATGAGAGCAGCTGTCAAAAGAATTCCAGAGTGGTTTTCTAGGGAGCAGATGCTGAGGACAAGAGCGTAGTTGGAGCAACAATGACTGCCAAAGAAAAAGAAGGCGAGCAATAAGAGCAGAATGATTAGTGGCACGTGAAAGACATAGTGGTCAACAGCAAGCATCATGTTGAAGAACAAGAGCTGGATAAAACTGAAAGGTACAGCACTAGTATTGACTATGAGTGAAGGTGAGACTGTAGATGAGGACGAGTTATCCTTAGCTGTCCTTGTGACATTTGATGGCATAGATACTGAGAAGGGGAATCGCTCATAGGCCACTGGGCATTTCTGCTGAATATCTGAGATGGCTGGCCATCTTTTCTGCCGTAGAATAACGTGAGTTGGCTGCTGCGCCTCATCGACGACCTGCACTTTCTTGAGCGAGGTTGGAGAAGGTGACCGGGTCGACGTTCGAGCTAGAATATAGTTCAGGATCTGCAGACACCTAGAAGACGATGATCCCTGAGCTGCGATGCTTAGTTTGCTGCACCTCGCAGGTTTTAAGGTGACCGGGTCGATGTTTGAGCTAGGATATGGTTCAGGATCTGCAGACGCCTAGGAGAGGATGATCCCTGAGATGCGATACTTAGTTTGCTGCACCTCGCAGGTTTTACCCCCCAGTAGGGTTGCCATTGTAGTGAGCTGCCATGGGCCAGCTCTGTTTCCTCTGTAAAGAGAGGGGCAGTAGGGGAATACCACGAGAGAGATGCCATGGAAGCCATGGAAGGAAAAAAGAGGTGAAGGCGACTGAAGATCACATGTGGCAAGGTGCATGTGCTGTGATTGGCACTCTGCTGGATCCTGTTGGGTGCTCCTTGAGTGTTCTAACGCGGCTTCCTTTGTAGAATTAAAGGCCAAGATTGCTGCCGGAGACTACAGAAGTGCAGTCATCTCTCTTAATGCTTATGTGCCGAATGGGCCAAGGAGCCCCGCTGCCGGAAAAGTATTCAGCATGAATGTCCATGAATCTATATTATAATGCTTATCAACCACTTGCGACAACATTATGTAAGCTGGCAATGCAAGAGAAAACGTCCTTTACACGCTGCTCATCTAAATGTACTTAAGCTAAACCACTATTAATAGCTATGTATTGCAGAGCATGACGTGCAAGACTTCACGTGCGAACGTTGATTTTCCTGTGGTAACATTTGAACATGCGTTCCTTGGTGAAGTACGTATAGCTAGGTGCAGCTTGAAGCCCATTCTCACAAGGTTTAATTTGCTGAATTCATTTGTGTACTTATAGTAAAAATTGTTACAATGGTGATTGTAATTAAGTTTCTTCATACTAAGGCTGTAATGGACAAATAATAGGACCTCCATGTTAAGTATTTGCTAGAGTATTTGCTCCATGCTGATAGAAAACTGTGTAAGCCTGTGTTCTCATAACATTTTGTAAACGCTGTTGGACGGAGAGTGCATAGTGATGTTGACGTTGTGGAGCACTTGACACATACTTTATATCCAACTACTTGTTCTGTCCATGTTCATTGCACTCTGTTAAACTGTGTTAATGTTAGAATTAAGATGTATCTACAAGGGCGCCCTAACTAAATGCTGTGCTTTCTTCGGAATAATTGTGCAGTTACCAGTTGCAATCTCTGTGTACTTGCTGCTTGCGCAGACCTGCTAGCTGCATTTCCGTATTGAATATCGTCTCACGAGGCTGTGCTGGTCTGCAGTTGGGGCCCGAATGGTGTTAAGGAGTACAAGGAAAACCTCAAGAAGTTTTTCAGCGAACTGACCAGGATACTACCGTCTACGTCACTGGTGATGTGGCTGACAGCAGCTCCCTTGGCGCAAGATGTCCGAGGCGGTTTTCTGATTCCACAGCTGGAGTTCCTCAAGTACTCCCTCAGGTTCCACGTCCTCGAGGCAAACACCTTCTGCAGGGAGGTAGTGTGAATACATAGCATTTCGTCTACTAAAAGGCTGTTACTGGCAGCCAAGAGAGAAAGAATGGGAACTGTGTTAGCTATGTGCCCTGCATAGCATGTTTACAGCGCTGTTATAGTCACTGTAAAGGACCAGAGTGTGTCAGAACAGAACTGCAGTATGATCTCTAAACAACAAATCTCAAGGACCTTTAAGAATGGTTCATTACTTAAAAAAAGATTGTTGTACCAGAAAATAGCACATCTGTGTCAAAGGTTAAGATTATAAATGCAACAAAAAGGGCCCTCTACATTGCTCTATCCACAAACACCTCATTTTATAATCAGTGCAAAAAAAAAAACCTACAGACACAAAGTATTCTGGAAGAAGAAAGGGAAAGAAGACAACCACCTGTTTGTAGCGCAAAACCACAAGGAAATCCATACAGATTTCTCAGAAAGAAAAGCCTCTTAGTTGCCGCGAAAATTCGTCCTAGTCCAGGATTTGAACCGAAGACCAACACTTATCTGGGGTGGTTGCTCTGCCAATTGAGCTAACCAAGAAGCTAGCAATTAACAGTGCGAGGGCAAATTCATCAACAACTTGAAGCACATGACCACCAGTATTGCAAATGGTTTCTTTGGAAACCCGCAAGGTGGCGGGAGGGTTCCACAAGGTGGCGGGAGGGTTCCACAAGGTGGCGGTAGGGTTCCACAAGGTGACGGGAGGGTTCCGAAAGGGAAAGAAGACAACCATTCGTTTGTAACACGAAGCCACAAGGAAATCCATGCGGATTTCTCGAAAAGAAAAGCCTCTCAGTTGCCGTGCTACAAACAGGTGGTTGTCTTCTTTCCCTTTCTTAACCCTGCCGCCACCGTCGGGGTTACAGCAGAACTTATTTGCAAAGTATTTTGGAATGAGTGCATGTTTATTCAGAGAAGACCATGACATTTCTCTGGTGGGACTCAACTTCTGTGAAGCGACCTGTTCAGTGTGTGCATCTGCCTTATACCCTACGAAATGTCGTTCGGCACAGTGGTTGATTGGTTTAGTGCTTGGCTGCTGACTCGAAGTTAGCGCGCTTGATCCTGGCTGTGACAGTCGCATCTTGATGGATGTGAAATGGTAGAAGCCCATGTACTGTGCAACGTCAGTGAATGTTGCAGAACACCAGGGGGGTCGAAATTTCTGAAGCCCTCCACTACCGTGTTCCTTATATTCATGTTCTTGTTTTAGAATGTGAAGATCTAGATTGTAATATTATATTATTATTAATATTACTTTGAAACGTCACCACGAAATAACAATTCTTTGCAGTAATTTGCATGCGCTGTTTCTATGTTGTGCTCATCGCTGTTTCTTTACTCACGATAGCAGTGTTCATTTCGTTGGTCATCAGTTTAGCCAGTGTGCATAATCCATCGTCTAACAACTATACGCAGTGATCAAGCGTTACTGGAGTATCCATCGCGAGCCATTCTGCAAATTTATTATATAGGTCCCTGCTGTTGCTCTCTTCGTTGTCTTGTTGAACGAGACACCTCTGGTAGTTGCTGCGCTGCTTTAGTTTTGTGCCACTTCCGGAGCCTATCACCAGCTTAGTGACCAAGGCGAGTAAAACCCAGCAAGCCTGCAAACGTAGCCCGTTGTCGAAACAAAGGCAGCGAGGTGACGCCTGGGGCAGAAAACAAGTACAGGTGATACTGGCGGCAATGGGGCGATCGTGCACTTTGAATAGGGAAGGTCTTTAAAGAAATTAATGAATATTTTTACGATCATGATGACAGTGACACTTCCGGAGTTGGGCATTGTTGCCTCTGCTTAGAGTAATGTTTTTAAAGTTTGCAATACCTAGGTAGTTGCTGCTGTGTTTTAGCAGGGGATGAAATTTAATGTTTTTGGGAAACATTCTGCATTCTGAGATGTGTGGCAATGAAATTCTTGCATATAAAGCACTGTACGTATTAAAGGGAATTTTCAAAATATTGTTAATTTCAAATAATTTTTAATCTGAAATTCACTATGGATTGACTATATCTCTATTGCTTGAACGGGCAGCAAAGGAAACTGTGTAATTGTCAAGACCTGCACACTTGTAAGTTAAAATCTTGTCTGCGAGTCAAACAAACCATTTGTGGGTGCATAATTCAATGACACTATATTTGTCTTCTTCCTGCCACCACATTTGTCCTCTAATGCTACTATGGGAAAGTCCACAGTTGTACTACGAATGCTGAAATAATTGAAGGGATGGAACCACTACATCGAAGTTTCTATGACAGCTTGTTTTGGAATTATAAGTTTTGATGTCTGTGCAAGTTCAGTGAAATCCTTGATAATTCAGATGGGCAACTATGAACGAATATACTTCCCATAGGTCAGTGTTGAATTAAAGTTGCATAATCCTATACAGCTGACTCAATTTAATGTTGTCATGATGGGGTTCAAGTTCTTTCATTAGGTTGGGAATTTCGTAAAACCTAGAAAGGGATTTTTTGGTCATTTGCAGTTTAAAATTTTAATGTGGGGACATCAAAAAGATGGCATGACAATTCTTGTTACCAGCAACCTGTGCCTGCGCTTCTGAAAAGTATGTGAGGACAGTCCTAGTCATTGGGTGCACCATGTTTTGGTGATGCAGGCCAGGTAGACCTTTGCGTGAAGTTACGGCTATCGACCCACGATGATACTGCCACGTTCCATTTCCCAAGTTTTTATTATCGTCCGAAAACACCGCACGATTCTCAGCGCAAACCGCGCCTGCAGTTTTCTAGAAGGTTCCGGACTGTAGTAGATCATTTCGATAAGATCACGCCCACTGTGCGAACGGTACAGATTGTTCTGGAAGCTACGCCACCGCCAGCGATAACGCTAGAACATTCGACGGCAAGAGTATAAATGCCGACGCGCTTCGCCGCTTGTCAGTTGTTGATCGAAGGCCGACGCTCCGTTCGCCGCTATCAGTCCGAGACTGCTATCTGTGCGAGACTGCTGCTGTAATTGGACTTTCAGTTTACCGGGCACAGGTTCGCCCAAATAAACAGTTAAATCCTAACACGAAGTCTCCTGTCTTCGGCCACGTCACGACCCCGTGACATCTGGTGGAGGTGCTGCTTCGTTCATGTACCGCACGCCCCCGTCAAGCCGTGAACCCAGCCCACGTCGCGGAGAAGACGCCGACGCCAACCAGGAGCAGCGAACAAGCCGCCGACAGCAAGGGCTACCACCGGAGTACGGGATTCTAGAAGACAAGGTGCGGAAGACCAAGGCCATGACCGCGACTGCAGCGACAATGACAACCGCCGCATCTCTGCCCACGATGGTCATGCATCAACCCAGGGAACCACCAATTTTCCATGGGTCATCGTTCGAAGACCCGGAGTCCTGGTTAGAAACATACGACCGTGTGGCCGCCCTCAACCACTGGGACAACGAAGAAAAGCTCCGGCGTGTGTACTTCTACCTGGAAGACACCGCAAGGACCTGGCTAGAGAATCGTGAGTCCACGCTCCGAACGTGGGATGTCTTCTGCGGCGCATTTCTGCAAACGTTCGCGAGCGTCGCTCGCAAAGAAAGGGCCGCTGCTCAACTAGAGACCCGGGTTCAGCTACCGAATGAGAAGGTTGGAATTTTCACAGAGGAGATGACCCGCCTATTTCGTCACGCTGACCCAGACATGCCTGAGGAGAAGAAAGTTCGTTTCCTCATGCGAGGGGTCAAACAGGAGCTCTTCGCGGGACTAATGAGGAATCCACCAAACACCGTCCAAGAATTTGTATCCGAGGCGACCACCATCGAAAAAACCCTTGACATGCGCACCAGACAGTATAATCCTCGCCTGACTCCAGAATGCGCTGCTGCTCAAACCAGTGACTCCGAAAACCTGCGTGAAACGATCCGAGCGATCGTGCGGGAAGAGCTGCGCAAACTGTTGCCTTCGGCGCAACCTCAAGTGGATTCGATTGCCGACATTGTGCGAGAAGAAGTTCGGCAATCACTTCGAATTCCCCATACACCGCTGCCCGAGCCAGAAACTATGAGCTACGCCGCTGCAGTGCGCCACAACGCTCCTCCCCGTCCACGCCAAAACGCCGCCCCGTCGCACTTCCGTCGCCAGACACCACCGCCGCCACCACCCCCACCGACGACCTACCGTTCACCAGCGGGCCAGCGCAGTGCGCCGAGGAAAACCGACGTTTGGCGCACCCCTGACCACCGCCCACTGTGCTACCACTGCGGCGAGGCCGGGCACACTTACCGCCGTTGCCAGTACCGACAGATGGGACTGCGTGGCTTCGCCGTCGATGCACCACGTCCGCAGCCAGGAGAACGACCACGTGACATCGCCGACTACCTGACAGGAACTCGGTGGACACCACGAAGCCCTTCGCGTTCGCCGTCGCCCAGCCGCCGCACGTCACCGCACCACCGACAATACTCTGGCCCAACGCGGGGCCGGTCTCCTAGCCCGTATCCGGGAAACTAAGGGCAGCAACCGGTGGAGGTGCGGTTGCTGTGCGACGAACTACCGAAGATCCTCCGACGACGACGACGCCGCGACGAAGCTTTCCGAACACAACGCCAACCAGGCAAAGCCCTGACGGCGAAAGCTCACTTACTGAAGGTGGCCTGACGACGCAACATGGAAGCAGCGGAACAAGCCGACGCAGCCGTGACCCGACGCCACGCCCTAACTGTAATGCGAGACGGCGAACTAGCGACCTCGACGTTCTTATCGACGGCCACAGTGTGACCGCTCTCGTCGATACTGGAGCCGACTATTCTGTCATCAGTGGGTCGTTCGCCGCGAAGTTAAAGAAAGTTAGGACAGCTTGGAAAGGCCCTGAAATCCGCACAGCCGGAGGTCATCTCGTAACGCCTGCAGGAATCTGCACAGCGAGAGTCACCATTAACGGCCGTATTTATCCTACAGACTTCGTAGTCCTACAGCGTTGCTCGAGAGATGTCATCCTTGGCATGGACTTCTTATGCCTCCATGGTGCTGTCATCAACCTAAAAAC